AAACAGGTCCAGGTGGGGATAGTCCCACTTGTGGAAAACCTGGCTGAGTACAGAATCCTTGAGCGACCATTCGTGGGCTCCAAAGGATCTGCTCAGTGTGTCTGCAAGCAGGTTCTTGCACCCGGGGAGGTATTCCACCTGGGGCGAGATGTTGTGCATGACGCATAGATGCCATAACAGCAGGGCTTCCTTGCACAGAGGTGGGGAATGTGCCCCACCCTGCTTGCTGAGGTAGAAAACCGCTGCAGTGTTGTCCATACGCACCAGGATGGAGCGGTGGGAGAGCCTCGGAAGAAATGCTTCGCAGGCTTTCCTCACCGCTCGTAGTTCCCGGACGTTGATGTGCAGAGACCGTTCGGATGGGGACCAGAGGCCCTGAGTTCTGTGGCCCCCGAGGTGTGCACCCCACCCTAGGTCGGATGCATCGGTGACCAGGGTCAGCGAGGGGGGAGTGGCATTGAAGGGAACTCCGCTGTGCACCACAGATTCCTGGGTCCACCAGAGTAGGGAGTCCAGAATGTCCAGGGGCACTGTAATTATGGAGTCCCATAGTAGCTGTGAAATCAGCTCCCCTATTGCGAGGAACCTGCTGTGGGGCAGGAACGCTCTGGCCACCTTCGCATCGAGGAGGGCTCCCACGAACTCTATGCTCTGGGAGGGGGTCAGGGATGACTTCTCGACATTCACCAAGAGCCCCAGCCTTAAGAAGAGAGCTCTTGTGAGTGACACGTGAGCTTCTACTTGCTCATACGAGCGACCTCTGATTAACCAATCGTCGAGGTAGGGGAACACATGTACTCCTCAATTGTGCAGAAAGGCGGCAACCACAGCCATACATTTCGTGAACACCCTTGGCACAGTACACAACCCAAAGGGGAGTACCATAAACTGAAAATGGTGACGGCCCACCATAAACCGAAGGAACCTCCTGTGACTGGGCCTGATAGCCACATGGAAATAGGCGTCCTTTAAATCGAGAGTCGCGTACCAGTCGCCCAGTTGTAGTACTGGGATGACCGAGGCTAAAGTTACCATTCTGAACTTTTGTTTCACCACCGCCTTGTTTAAGAACCGGAGGTCCAAGATAGGGCGGATACCCTCCTTTGGTTTTGGGACAACAAAATAACGGGAGTAAAACCCCTTGCCCCTCAAGTGCGGGGAAGCCCTTTCTATTGCCCCTTTTTCGAGGAGTGCCCCCGCTTCCTGAAGCAGGATGTGTTCGTGAGGGGTGTCCCTTATTAGGGACAGGGTAGGGGGCTTTGAAGGCGGTGGGCCCAGGAACGGGATGGAATAGCCTGTACGTACAATGTTGAGGACCCAGGCATCTGACGTTATTTGTGCCCATGCCTGGGCAAAATGGGAAAGCCGGGCCCCAAACGGGGGGCCTGGGTGGCAGACTGGTACGGGACTCTCTAGCTCTAAGTCAAAATTGCGGCTTGCCCTGATTGGAAGGGCCGTGAGGGCCTGCCCGTTGGGGATCTGACCTGGGGCGACGACGTCGACCCCTACACCCTTGAGGGGGCGCGGCCACCACGGAACCTCCACCGGAGGCCCGGGAGCAGC